CCCACCAGACAGGCATGGCCCAGCTCTGCTGCCCTCCCTGCCAGCAAGAGATGCTCATCAGTTGCCTTGCGACAAGCAAATAAAACAGGGACGTAACTAAACCATCCCATTAGTCATCTTCCTAACAGGTTTCTCTGTCAATTTAACTGGTTTTACAGTTAATTTAAAATCTGGCATGCTTTAATGTTTACATACTTCACACCAAGTGCTTGCGACGGTTTCCTTTCACTCTTCTTTGGTGCTCGACGGTTGTTAATGCACTGCATTGGAGCATCTGCAGCCAGCGCTGCTCACTGGAGAAGGCACCAGCACCAGCACTGCCCTGGGCTTTTCCTTGGGCAACACCAGGCAAGGGGGGATGAATGGAGAGAAGCCTGCACCAGGGAACTGCTGCCATTGTGCTTCTCTGGCTCTCAACTCGGATGCTCCCTGTTCCGCAGGACCTGACCCCGGCACGGTACCTGCTGCCTGTGCCTGCACGTTAAGCTCTAACACTTATTACCATCCATCCAAGTGGCAAACAAGGCTCAAGCTGTTGATGCTGTGCTAACGCAGACCTCGCTCTAATAATTCTTCTCTTTAAAATGAAGGAAGAGCCGAGCCAGGCGACGCCGGCGCTTTCACCTCGCACTGAGGAGCACGAAAGCTGCTGCTACTTTTACCACGGGCAGCCACATCCGCATTAATTGTTGACCACAGCCCGGACAGGTCTTTTATTAATATTAATGAGTAACAGGGAACAAAAGGCCCCTTTATTTTTAGCCTACTCTAATTGCGTAGTAATTACTCATCTACAAAACAAATGAGCCGAACTCCATTGCCATAGCAACAGAAACTCTGGCCTCCCACTGTACCGCATTAACTGGCTATCACTCCTGTTAATTTTAAATTGAAGCCTTTTGTACAATAACAGACAATAGAGGGGGGAAATTAAAACAAAAGCTGCTCTTTGCTTTGCTGCATATGTTAAGTTGCCGTAGCAGGAGGGCACTGCCCAGGGGGCACCTTCCCACTGCTGATGGACCCCCGGTGGGATGGATGGATGGATGGAAGGGGGCACAGAGGGGTTATCCTGGGAGCAGAAGAGAAATCCTGCCCACGACCCCCAGTGCTTTCTGTGCAATGATCTGCGGGAGAGTCTGCACCAGGTGCCTGCACAGAGAGAGGAGCTGGCGCTTCGAGCATCCCTGCTTGGCCAGACAGACATCAACAGCCACGGCTGAGCAGGGTGGAGCGAGGGGTCCTCAGTGGCATGAGCGGGTGGTAACACCCCACCCCAAGAGGAAAACCTGAGCTCACTGATGAGAAAACACCAAGAGAAGCTGCTGCCCACCACATGGTGCCTGGGGAGAGCTGGTGGCACCGGCTCTGCTGTCGGCACCTAACACCCCAGCTTCTGGCAAGGGAGGATTTGGGCACAGACACCTGAGACTCCCCATGGCACAAAGTGCTGGGCTCTTCACTGTCAGAAAACACCCTTAAAAAGACCCCGCTGTGTGAGTTTATTGTTTGCAAATAGCTCAAGTTTCTATACCTGCAGACCAATTCTGCATTCTCTGGCAACCACTAATCCACCGCGCTCAAGCTCAGTGCCAGATGCACGCTAACATCTGCTTCAAGGCAAAACTCCACTGCTTCTTTCTCTGTTTTCTATTTCAGAAAGGAGAGGGGGATAAAAAAATCACTGTAATTATGTATTAACTTTTAAAGCACCTGGGGAAAGAATCAGCATGAAAATACAATCGTACATCAGTAAAACGTGCGCCACGTCCCATTTAGTAATTGTTGCACTAATGGGGAGCAGCCTGCGAGTGCTGCCAGTCAAGTTACCCCTCAGCTCAGTCAATACTTTACATGTTTGGTGATTAAAATGTATGAGATATGCTCACGGACCCGAGTATCTCATTGCACTGCAGAGCTCATGCTGAAGGTCCCCGTTTCAAACTTTACAATGACTCGTCTGCATCTCCCATGGAACAAAGTCTGATTACAGCAGCCAAGAGCTCCAACCCTCCACTTCCACTGGGTGAAAGGGGATGGAACACTGATAACTGCCCGCTGCAGGGCTTTGCAGGGCTGGAGCACGACTGCCCAGTGGTTGGCGTGGTCCAGAGCAGCAGCAACCCAGTCCCTGAATGGGCAATGAGCCTGCACAAGGCAGCATCCACGCCATTACCACTTCCCATGTGCCAAGAGCAGCAGCAGGGACACAGGGATGAGCTCAGATGAGGAGTGGTTTCCCATTGAAAATAATTCTCCTGATTGAAAAGACTATTAAAAGTTAGCTGCTAAATTCGTTCAAGATTAACTTCCACTGTACTTAAGCCTTGCACTTCAGAGGGGGTCACTAATTGCCCTGGAGATGATTTAGCAAGTGCACAAGGTTTTCTATTACAAAATTATCGATTAAAGCTGATGCATTTTAACCACATTAGACTTCAGCCAGGAGCCCTGTGAACCAACTGCTGCTGTGGTCAAGGCCTAACAGCAGCAGGGCCCAGTTGTTTTAGATGCACTGAATCTTCTCCTTGGCACTGTAGGATGTGGGATTCCCACCTTGGAACAGCATAGCGCTGCTGTACCAACCCAAAATGACTCCCTCTCTTTATTTGGGATAATAGTCAGAAAAGTAACTATAATGCCTACAGAAAAGAGCATATTGCCCAGAATGAGGCCAAAACCAAGCAAAGAAATGCAGCGTGGCCTCCTCTAGAGCCACGCCACACTAAGCAGAGATGCACGGTGTATTCACATTGCTGTGATTTCTCTTTAACACACAACACTGCCCCTGTGCCCATTCCTCACCAAAGCCCACCATGGCACGGGGTCCCCTCATCTCTCCAGGCCCCCTGCAATGCTCCCCAGAGCCTCTGCTATGAAGATAAGCAAAGGATAACATGCGATGCAGCCATTAATTTCCCGATGCATCAGCTGCCAGGCTCTGTCACACAATTACCGGCGGTTCCAGTGGAGTGAGAAATTCCAGCCCGCTTGCTGCTCCCAAGTGGTCCACTTGTTAGGTTCTGGCTTTTGAGATTACACAGCTTGCCTTAAACTTTATGTACTTTTATATAGGACAATAAAAGAGGGAGAGCAGCTCCATCAGAGCCGCTGTGCCACAAGGGAGCCCTATCAACGGGCCGTATAAATCCCAAATTGGTTCACCGCCGGCTCTTTGAAATGCTCCTTAGGACATTTCTGAGCTGGTGCTGGCTCCTCTCCCTCCGCACACGCAGACCAACCGTTGTCCCACTTTTTATGGCCGTAATTTGCCAACACTATGGGTGCCTAATGACAAGATTAGATTTTTAGAGCCCCTTCTTTAAGTGTAAGACAAGGCTTCCTAAGCCCCATGCAATTTGTCGCTCTGCTGACTTTCAGATACACTCCTCACTTCATCATATGCCTGGTGCATTAAACAGTGGGTCCCCCGTCTCCTTGGCAGATTGAGATCTGAGGGTGAAATTATTCCCCCCCCCGATGCACAAGTGTCTCAGCTCCCTGGCAGCACTAAGGAAAGCAATAGGGGAGGCTCAGATTGCCTCGCGCAGGCTTGCATCGCGTCAGCCCCATCCGCGGTTGTTTGCTTGATTTACTTTATGTTCTATTAGAGGTAAGGAGCGGATACAAATCCTTAATTACATTTTGAAAGCCCATTCTGGATATTTTATCTCCTCTGCAAGCGCTTGCTGGAATACGTGCACTAAAGCCTGCCTTGATACCCCCAGCGGAGCGGGAAGACGCTCCAGCTCAGCACATCTGGATTGCGGGGAGGAGGGAAGGTGTGACCATGCCAGACAGTATCTTTTCTACTCCCAGCAGGATGCTTTCTGTCAAGCAACAAACCAAACAAATAATCCAAAGCCTAATGCAGGATCTCAATTACCAGCTGCTAAATTTACAGGCTGCAGCTTCGTCTGTGCAAGAAGTTTAGCACAGAAACCGGGGCACAGGAAGCAAAGACGCGTGCTGGCTCGATGGCAGAGACGATGGACTTGCCTCGACCTCCTCAAGCTGCTATTCATGAAATGCTAACTCTTCATTTCAAAACACTCCTCAAGCTGGGTGACATGGCAATGAGTACGACCCATCACTCGCTCAGAGTCTTGGCTGCATAACAACCCTGGAGGTTTGTGACCTAAACCCAATGGCTTCATGTCTCAGGACAGTCTGTGGGAAGCTGCTTCACACACACACTATCACTTAGATACCCAAATGGAGTGATCTGCGTTGGGCACATCCGGTCTACGACTGCCAACGAATGATTCTATGGGCTAATATGGACGAGTAAGAGGCTGATGAAGAGACCATGATTGTAAAATGACTTAAAAAATATCTCAGGTTCTTTTTTAATACAAAATAAAAAGAAGAGAATATCGTTATAGTCAGTGTTTTAATTCCTAGGGGGGGTAATTTGAAAAAAAAGAGGCAATTTTCCTATCAACATAAGAGCATGTGCGGGTTCTTGTGCTGTGCAGAGGGTGTAGGTTACCTACAGCCAGCTTCAATTTAAACTTCCAGATAATGGGATTTAACAAATAGGGCACTATGGATCCAAGCCATCAGCAGCTCTCTGCTGTATTGATAGTCCTACGCTTTCAATCAGACCAAGGCTATGCTTTTATCTGCCACGCTAGTTCACGTTGATGATACCTATAATATCAACTCAACAATGCATGTTCTACAACTACATCTACTGCTACCAGTACGACTACTACAGTGCATGCATTTAGTTCAGTCCCACAGATACATACACTCTAAGAACAGGCAAGGGGAGATGTGAAATGTTTTACGGGACGACAAGTGTTTTTGTTTTTTAAGTAAGGGAAATTAATAAAAACATCAAAAGAAAGAAAGTGTACAAAAAAATAGAGACATTTCTCAAGAGTTGGTATGAGTCGTTTCTGGAACCGTTTCGTCCGAACAAGCAAAAAACATGCAACCAGCTGCTACTAACAAGAAGCTGGACACTGAGAGAGGATTAATAGGTGTGGACAAACCTTCCCGCTGAGAGCGCTCAGAAGAGTGTTTGAGAGGAGGTGTGCACGTCCGAGTGTAAGAGAGGCCGGAAAGTATGCCTCAGAGACACCCTCTCTCACAGCAGCCCCAACCAAGCAAGAGAGAAAACAACAAAACATAACTGCTCACACTCACCATCAAGGTCAGTAGCTCACGTTACGAGATTTGTTATAGCTGGCAAGTATAAAGTACAGTAAGGGGTTGTCAGGGCGCAGGGCTCAAAGGCAGCGCTGGCAAGCCGGGGACTGGCGCCCAAAATCCAGATGTGCCAGGGGTTGGGGTAGGGGGGAGCAGCTCTTGGTGCCGTGGCACCGCCTCGGCCCACCTCTGTGTGCCACCAGCCCTCTCGGCGGGCAAAGTGTGCCCATGGGAGCCTGTGCTGCTCCTCCTGGTGCCAAGCAGTGGGAATTGGGCTGGATTATGGATGGCCTTATGGGTTTTGTCTCCAGTCCCCAGGGAGGAATAGCTGGTGGCAACAGGTTGGGAACTGGAAAAATCTCAGACTTGTCAATGAACCGCAGAGGGAGGAAGGAAAAACCTCTCCTGGCAAATTTTCCTTGTCTCGCTCTCCTGCCAGATGAATCCCTCCCATGTCAAATGCATGTCAAATGCATGTCAAAAATGCGTGTGCCCCCCCCATGACTGCATTTCTTTACAAGACAAGAATGTTTTAGACGTAAACCATGTCAGGTGAATGCAAACGAAACGTGACACTGATAGTGAAGTTGTTTAGGAGGAGTTTGCACATTCGGGCTTTCAACTTTGCTCATTTTCCACGGCTCAGGTCCCAATTCATTAAAAAAAAATACAAGAATGGATGAGGTTGTCACAAGGAGCCGAGGGATTCGGCAGCACAAGCCCACCCGGCGGGAATGGATGTGGCCAGAGCCCTCTGTGTGCTCCAGGGACCTCAGCTCTCGCCCTGTCACTGGGATGTCGACTGAGGGTATGATTTACAAGAAGCATCGCTGCGTTCACCCTGCCAGCACGTGAGCAGCTTGGCTACACCTGAATTTATGAGTGGCACTGAGCACGAGCAAGGGGAAATGTCCCTTTCTGCTGGCTGCAGCAGGGAGCTGCTGTGATAGAGCAAAGAACTTGCTCATCTAGCACGGTAAGCTGGTGACTGCATCCTCACATGCTGCGCTGGGAAAAGAAGGGGTGAGGGCAGGGAAGATGCCCCCATGCAGGTAACTGCCCCTGGGTGGGCTCCTTTCGCTGGATGGCTTCCTAAGAGGAGGAATAACACCCCAGGGAGAAACTAAGGTGGTCAGTGCCCACCGTGCTGGCAGTGACACCGAGAAGGTGGGGAAGAGGCAGCAGGATGGGGCCAGAGAGCAGAGGAGGTCAATTTGGAGTGAGCTGATGGGGCTGGAGTGCTGCAAAGAAGGGGCAGCAGCAATGGGGACCTCTCAGCAAAGCACTGCCCAGTGAGCAGAGGGGTGGTGGGATGCTCTTGCCTGGATGTTTTCCAGCTCTCTTCCATGTCCTGGCAGAAAGGAGCCAGTATGGGCCAGCTGTGCTTTCGGATCAGGCACACGTGAAGGAGGGCTGTGCAAATTTGCAAAGGAAAAAGAAACCCAAGAAAAAGAAGGAAAAACCCCAACCATTTTTCTTGTAATGAATCGGGCCCATACACTGCAGCACAAGATCGATTGCTCTCGACTGCTCCTGAATACAATTCACTACCATTGCTGGATGGAAGTGGCGAACCCAGGATGTCCCTTCCAAAAACTGGCTTTGGATGGAGATGACTCTATGTGACACATCACTGCTCCCAGGGCACGTTCCGCTGCCAATGTGAACCAGGCCAGGGACAAACCCATCTTCCTCCTTGAGATCTCAGGGCTGGGGACGGGATGGGGGCTCATTTTGATTCAGTTTTGACAGTTTAGTGCACACAGGCAATTTTGAGGCTTGAAAGGACGCTTCCAAACACCATACTGCTCTTTAAACTTGCCAGAAAGGGTGCTGTTAATTTAGGGTTAGGTTTAGTTTCGTATCGCAAGTTCAAATGAAAAAAAGAACAAAAACCGAAGAGAAACCAAACCAAAACCAGGAAACCCAACAGAAGGAAAACCAAAAGACACTCAAATTAAAGACAAATGATTTTCAGGCACAGAATTGATCAATGCTCAGTTCAGTTGTAATGGGCACCAAAAGCACTCCGATTAAAAAGAAAAGGAATAACCATCAGGGAAGCAACGTTAATCCAGCCAAACCCTCTGTGCCTCGCTAAGGGGCAACTCACCAGCTCTGTTTGCACGTAAAACAAAACCTGAAGGGCAAAACATGGGGAAGAGGCAGAAACGATGAAGTCTGTTTTCCTGAAATCGCAGGGAAAATCAATCTCATTTTGGCTTTGTTTTCTTTGCGTTTGGTTTCTGCTCCCCTCCACGAAGGGGCAGAAGGAGAAGCCGGGAGATGGGGAATGCCCACAACCAGTCTGGCAAGTCACCCCTTAGGCGCTCTCTACATGCCACAAGATGAAACTGGTACAGATAATCCTTTGTAGCCTGCAAGCAGTGCCAGTTTGCATGGAACGGAGTTCTCCTGGTGTCTTTCTTTGGCCTCCACGGCATCAGGCTCGCACTCGAGACACACCTGCGCCCTCCTCGCAACCCCTCCTGCAGCGGGTCGGTCGGGTCTTTTCGGGAAGAGCCGGGTTTATCCACCGGGAATGCCGGAAAAGCCTCCGAGGAGCCCCCGCTGCAGGGCTGTGCCATGAGTGAGCTGCAGAGCCCCTGCCAGAGCCACGAGCCGGGCACGCCTGAGCTGAGGCCGGCAGCTCACTGATGGCTGCGTTGAACACTTCATCACCTGAGCAAAGCGCTAGAATTCACTTGTTGAGCTGAATTTCAAACCTAAGGTCGTAAATTGGCAACCATTTATTTATTTCCCTTAAAGGGAAAAAAATAAAGGTTTTCAGAAGGGCAGGAAGGAAAGCTTTGATGCTCCTCGTGAAGGCAGGCTGGCTTTGAACACACGGGTGGCCAATGCCAGCCACTGTGATCGCCCCGTGCCAGGACAAGGCATTGTCCCCAGGGGGACATGGACCCCTCACATTGGCCATGGTGGAGGAGGCAAGAGAGGCTCTGGGCACGGCCGGAGCACCCAGTGCCACTGCCACCACCACCTCAACCCAGCACCAGCTTTCCATGAGGAGCCAAAGCTTTTCTTCAAACCCACAAATTAATCTCTTTTTTTTGGGGGGGTGGGGGGGGGTCTTTTATAACCTCGAATTTAAACCAAAGAAACAAAGAAACCAACGTAATAAAGGAATAAAGAAAGAAACAAATCAGAATATCTACCCTGGGTTTGGCAGTTCTTACGCCAATCTCCTGCAAGGTGCTCCATGGCCTCTGCTTGTAGTTTGGGGTTGGATTGGGGTCGATTTGATTTAGTGCTTTTCTATGATTTTTAGTTTCTGATCGTTTGTTTTCAGGTCCCCGGGATAAGTGTGAGGAAGAAATCAGAGAAATGATGGAGAGCTGCAGCCACACAGAATACCGACAGAGCTTTTACCTGACCCTGCACTCTGAGGGTTTGCTCTTCCACGGGCCCCCCTACCTGATCCTCTTGCTGCCGCCACGGCTGCCGCTGCTACTGGTCCATAGGCCGCTGCCGGAAAACCTGGCCGTGGAGAGAAGGAGAAGGGTAAAGACAGAAGCCAGCGGGTACCGCGAGTCAGCGTGGGGCATGGTTGCCATCCCGGCTCTCCATGCCACCAATGGAGCCATCGCCACGTGCCCACTGCCAGTGGTCCCTGCTGGCACAAAGGTGGCCCAAATCCCCTTGGCAGAGAGGAATGTGTTGGCCGTGCCTGGCCACGGCACACCGCTTACATCCCTGGGCTCTCGAGCGGCTGGGGTCAGACCGCTTCCCAAAACGACAGGGAACTCTCCTCTTTGCTTATTTGCAAGTGATAATAACATGCTGATCTCCAGACAGAGCACTAATGGAAAATACGAGGAGGCCCTCATGGCGAGATCACAGATTTGCTGGGATCAAGCAGAAAAGGAATCACTGGAATGTAATTTAAAACAGAAAAGAGAGAAAGGGAAAAGCTCTTGAAAGCAAAACAGCCGCCGATCAAGGAGCTCTAAGACACCCCTGCTACAGGGGCCCGAGCCCTGACACAGGAATGAACTGCTGCTGGCAAGAGTGCAGGTTTAGGTTCTTTACTTCATTAATACCCAAAGGTCTGCCGGAGGCTCTGACTTCAAACGTGGGTATTTTAGGAGGGCAGTAAGGTCCAGTGACCAGCAAGAACCCCAAACCCCCCTTGCTGCATCACAACCAAACCCTCGGTGGTTCCTGGTCTCTGGGGAGCTCCGACTGCTCCCAACAGGAGAACCCTGGGGGTAGTGACCACCGTGGACCTGCCTCTTGAGAGGGCTCCGGGGCTTTGATCACAGCTGCTTTGCGATGCTGCAGGACCACAGAGGAACAACTGAGGCGACAGAAGAGAGAAGCCCCAGAGACACAAGCAGACTACAAGCCCCACTGCCTCTAGCACTATCACCTCAGCTACTGGCAATCTACCAGGAGGAAAGGAGCAGAGAACAACTAGGCTACAGCGACTTGAAGCTACTGAAAACAGCAATTAAAACCAGACATACTTGCATTTAAATATGGTAATAGGGCTGCAGGGGGAAAGAAAACAGTAGAGGTAAATGTAGGCTCTGCTACCCCTGGCTGCTGTTCCCTGTGAGCAGAGCCCATGAAACACAGAGCAAATCCCGTCCCTTCATGTCAGTGGGAATCTGTTTGGTTTTATGATGTGTGGAGTGGGATGCAGGAGGAAGAGCATCCAGATAGGGGACTATTATAACCAAATACCCAAGTGCTAAACTCCTCCTTGCTGGTGACAGAGCCACCAACCCTGGCTGGGACCCCCAACATACATTTAGGGCTAGAGCTGTGATACACTGGAGTGAGAAGACTTCAGTGGTAGAGTCAAACCAACCTCCAAACAGCAGGAAAGCATCTGCAGGACAAGGGCTGAGGCTCTGGGTCTTTGTTTCCATGCGGAGCCATGCCCAGGCCAAGCCCCAGCCCTCCTGCTGTGGGTAAGGCAGGAGCAGAGCTGGCACCATCCCCACAGCCTCTCCTCCTGCCCATGTCCCAGGGGCAGTGTCCTCAGCGTTCCCATGGCACATCCAGGACCAGCTGGCCACCAGCAAATCGCATTTGGAGACTCCAGGGGCTCCCTAAACCGTCACTAAGGGATCAGAGGAGCTGCGGATTTTCCATGGAATAAAACGCCCCTGCCAAAACCAATCAAATCCCCTTCGAATCACCCAGCATCCCCCGCAAACAGCATAAAAAGAGGGGCTGGAAAGTTTGTTTCTCTTGTTCGAGTGCCAGGGACGCTCAGGATCTCTTTGAAATGCAGGACAAAAAGTTTTGCCATGCAAAAGAATGATGAAATAACAAGGGTGGAGAAGGCACTCAACAGAAAGAGCCCGAACAAAGGCTCTGTTAGCGCATTCCAGGGGACAGATGTGTGAAAAATTAATCCCTCCACCCCAAAGAAAGCCATTATCCCGGTTCTGAGATAAAAGCATCTCTGCGACATGGCATTCCAAACAACTCAAGTGTGATGGGCTGCTTGTGCTCTGCCCGGGACCGCTGCACTTGGCAGCAGGGCAGAGCCACAGCGGGAGATGGAACCAGGATTGATTATCATTGGCAAGACCTGCTCACCAATACAGACTCCCAGGCTGGCTCCATCACTGGAGGACCCCGAAATCAATCCAAGGTCCTGTAAGTAAGCAATGCCCACCACTGGAATGACGTTTGCCAGGCCCTGCATTGATCAGCTCCTTTGCACTAATGCTGCTCACGACTGTGCTGTTTGCTCCTGAACCTCACAGCAGAGATCAGCAGCTGACGCTGTCCCCACGTCGCAAACGGGATCAAACCAGGCACAAAGCAGCACAAGGACCTGAGAAAGCCGTCTGCAGGCAGGCAGGGATGCTCACAGGTTCTGGTCTCAAGCTCCAGCACTAATCTCTCTAATTCCCCTCGTACCAGCCCCAGGGCCCTGTTTAAGCACTTTGGTCACGCTGGATTATTGCCTCCCATTGTTTATAAACTTCCACACCAGCAAAGACTTCAAAGGATGGCACCACAGCGACAGCACAATTAGCACCGAACCTGTTCTGTGTACTCCTAGAGCTCCTGTCTCTACCCCACTTCTGCCTGTGCTCATCCCAGAGCTGAGCTATCTGCAGCTCTTTAACGAAGAGGAAAGCATTAGCAAGCCCTTTTGCTGGTCGCCAGCCCCCAGAAGGAACCTGCTTGCCCACAGAACCTATTTCTGCCCCCCCCAGACCACACTGATGCTTGGGCAAGGCTGTGTGCCTGCACAGTGCCCTCCCCTGGCCCCCGGCTCGCTGAAGTCAACTGAGAAATCAAAAGCAGAGATCAATTCCTTCGGTGCCTGTTTAAAGCACTCCAATTCCTGCTGAAATGATCCCTGTCCTTTGTGCATCCGCTGCTTACAACTGCCTAGGGACAGCCAGGTACCAAAGCTGCTCAACAGGACAAAAGTGCCCACCTTGGGCATTGCAGTTAGAAGATATCTTACACTAAAAGTATTGCAATGGGCTCGCACGCTGTCCAGGGAAGCCCTGAGGATTCACACCGGTTCCATGCTCTCGCATTGCTCCCAATGAGCTGGAGCCGGTGTTTGGAGTTCCATTTTTCACAGATAAACTCTGCTGCTCCCTGCACCAACAGTTCCACTGTAACTACTGAGGCAGCTTTGTGCCAGGGAAGACGGACACAGCTGCTTTCGGTGCTTTGCCCTACGGAGACAGATTTAGTCAATGGCTGCCTGCAAGCAACTGCTCTCCCCAAGGCACAAGAGCCTGCAGGAGTGGGACTGAGGGGCAGCCCAGAGCAGGGCTGGATGTGGGCCGGCTGCTCAGTCCTGCGCTTGGCATTACCCAGGAGACACCACCAGGAGCCTGGGATTTCGTGGATTTTCCAAGGCTTTGTGAACAGATCCGGTGGGAGCCACAGTGCCCGAGGAGGGACCTCCAGGGGATCACGGGCTCCGGGGGAAGGACACGCTCCCTCCTGCTCCATATCCTGCTCCAGTGGGACTGCTTCCTTCCCAAACCACTGATTTCTCCTTTACCCCAGCCTGAAGCTGGCTCCGAGGCCACCAGGAGCAACTGGAAACCCCTTACTCCAGGCACGCTGCCAGGACTCGGGTGCAGCCCTGGCTTTCCCTATGAGCAATCACTGACTCCTTCAGACCTGCTCTACTGAGCCCCTGAAGACCCCAAATGTCTTGCACCCCCCAAAGGACACAAGTCCCCGTCCTCTACAAACAGCCAGACCATAGGAATCAAACCAAAAAGTAGCCACAAAGATCACAAAATTAGCTCTTAGGTCAAAAAACATCATGCAAAGACTTTGCTTGTAATGGCTAAAGCACTTGGGGCACACAAGGGCATCTGTTCATACCCCAGCAATAAGCACAGGGATTTAAACCAAGAATAAAACCAGCAGCTGAGATACTCCAGTCACCACCAGACTTCAGAAAACAACCCCAATGATGGGACACGCATGGAGAATAACAGAAAGGGCCCCATAAAACTGTGCCCCACAAGCAGGATCCTCTCTCTATGTTCATGGAGTGCTTGCAGTATCCTCCCTGTGGGGGTTTTGGGGGGCCCTATGCACACGGGATGGAGCTCTGAGGCTGTACCCGTCCCAAACCACTTGGCCCCACTGGTGCTCCCCAGTGGGCTGATCCGAACACCCATCACTTAGGAGGTTCACTGGATCTCCCAGGGGCAAAGGAATATAAAATCACCTGCAGGTTGAGTGGGAAAAGGAGAGGGGGAAACGGATCCCCTCTTTTCAAACACGGTTACCAGCGGCTTTGATCAGCACCGAAAAGCTTTGCGAGGCTCACAGCTGTCATTTCAAATGGGCTCTCGCTTGCATTATTCTTTCCATTAGGCAGCGTTATCCTCTTTGTAGGATCTTTGGGCTTTGTTTCAAAAGTATCCGAGACTCAAACCCCTGAAGCAGAAGAGCCTGGTGGCTTTTCTTTGGGAGGCAGGCAGGCGTGGGTCCAATTTACCGGACAGAATGTAGCCTTTAATGGTGAGCACGCAAGAGGGAAAGCTCCGTCCCAAAACAATCCCTTTATGTTCAAACCCTTCATCTTTCAGGCCTCCCTTGTCTCAGACTCCCCCCCAACTTTCTATAAGGAAACAAGAATGAGAAAGAAAAAAACCCTGCTCCCATTTGAAGCTTTAGATGAAACGCTCAATGTTTAGAGAAGAATATACCCAGAGAAATCAAGGTTTAGCGAGAATTGATGAAAGATCGGGATTCTACCAAATCATTCGCAATTCATTATCACAGTTTAGTAGCAATTAACTCTTTGGGATTCGATTGAAGACTCTCCCTAAGCTCTCCCACAGCTCTTGCTGTAGGAATCGAACGCGGAGGCAGTTCCAAGCCCTGCTTGGAATGTCTCGTGTTTCCCACCTGGTTTGCCTTTAAAGCAGCGGGATAGCGGCATCCACACGACAGCAAGCAGAAGGGACGAGGCGAGGCGCAGGGCAGACCTCCGTGGCAATGAGAATTGCTTTCCTGAGCATTTGATCAATTCTATTAACACTTTTAGCACCTCCAAGCCCACCCAGAGTCCCTGCTTGTGACAGCCCCATTAAGTGTTTCCCTTTGTCTTTATACGCTGTGTTACATCAAGCTTATTAAAATCTATTTCACCAGGTCAGAAAATTAGCGAGCTTCAGCTACAGCCCATCACGCATAATGGCAGCCTCATTAAGCAGCTCACTGCAGCTAGCCAAGGCACAATCACCTCCTGCTTAAAATGTACCGCGCGTGGCAAGGCTCCCTAGAATTCCCCACGTCAGCCACTGGAACGCGCTCCACACCGGATGCATGTTTGCAGATGGATGTTATTATGAACAAATACTTCTGCTTTGGAATTCCAACCAAACAATAAACCCCAAATAGAGTCCATTTCCACTCGGGCACTTCCACTTTATGCACAGCAAATGACCCATTTTTCAGCTGTTACCACTCTCAGGCCACGGGTTTTAAAACGAGAATGATGCAGTAATTACTTTATGCATCAGTGAGACAAAGCCTTGTTTGTCTCCAAATTATCATTCTGTGTTGTTTCAAGTGCAAGAACCCTTTTGAGGTTATTTCACCGTGCAGAAAACTGGGAAACTTCTCAAAAGCAAACAGTTTATTCTAAGAAAACTATTTATTCAAACAACCGCAAACCAAAAAGCCAAAGCTGGGAGCTGATGGAGTTTATTTACTCAGAAACTGCTCCCATCCTAGAGCAGCTTCAAGGCATCTGCCAGACTTCTGTGATGCGTCCTATGACAACGATGCCTCCCACCAGTCAAACTCAATATGTAATCTGGATTCTCCCTAATTTAGTCACTGGTGAAACACAGAGAATTACAAGCTTGAAGAGAATGCAGCCGATGTGGGTGAAAGAGAAGCTGCACCAAGTCGCCTCCTGAAAGCAGTTCTGTTTAATACCGAGTTGAGCGCGCCGATGAAAGCATTTCTCATTTGAAAGCCCAAAGCCAAACATTTGCTATTGATTTTTAATAAACCAGGTAAGGAT